TGGGATTTGTATTCCTATGTATAATATACAGCACAATGTACCATCAGCTATAGAGAAATACAAATCCCAGCAACACCTGCTCCTCCTTACTACATCTCCCCGCGTCCCTTGCCGATCGTGGATGTGGATGGGCAGGAAATGTGACGCGGGGAGGAGGTGCGGCGTGTGGCGCGTGAATGCGAGCGGGTCTGGCAGCGGCAAGCGTGAGGTGGGGAGGAGGTGCGGCGCACAGCGTGCGGAGCTGTGAACAGGGCCAACTGATCGGAAGCCGATTAATCGATTATTGAAAAAGTTGACAACTTTTTCAATAATCGATTATAATCGATTATGTCGATTAGTTGTTGCAGCCCTAGTTGCAAGAGGATTCGGTAGCAGGGAATGCTCTGGTGATTTACGTGGGATATATATACCAGAGTCTAGGCCTTTCCCCCTCTAATGCTTCTTCCTCGTCTGCTCCGCAGACTCAAGAGGCATGGTTTACTAGTGATCTTTCTTGCACTTAATTAACCCAGATGACAGTTCTTCACCGAATTGTTAAGGCTCCTGACTGTTGTTCCATGGATTCCGTCACATCATTGGATTTTAAGAGTAAGGAGCACCTCTAAATTTGTGAGTTTTTCGATATTCAAGGATAAGTAGGATTTACAGCAACTGTCGAATTACGATGGGACTTTGTCCCAGGGGTATTACCCCTTCTTGCAGATAGATGGGACTTGAGCTTGGCCCTCAGCACTATCAAGTCTGCATTCTTCTTTGCTATTTTATTGCTAAGAAGGTTAATGTTCTTCCTTATCTTTGTATGGGGAATTCCCAAATACCTACCCTGTTTTATTTGACTCTTATTTGACTCTTTGGGATTAAAACTTGGTTTAACTGTGTTTTAAGGAACCACCTTTTTTACTCTTTGGAGGTAATTCTACATTAAAAGTTCTTCCCAGGTAGGTATTGGCTCTGCAAGGTGAGTGTCTGTCCTGACAGTCTTTCATTCAAGGATTCACATTTTTGGACTTCTGCTTGTATCAGGTGAGTCCAGGCCTAGGACCTTCTTTCGACCTAGAGCAGTTCTGACCTTTCCTTAACCATGACATCATTATTTGGCCTCTCTGTATGCCCCTAGCTGTCCAAGAGGAGCCTCTTTCATTGCTTTCTTTATTGGTTTAAGTCACATATGTCAATTGCAAAGCCCGGGTGCCATAAACAGCCTGCCACAAGACTTTCTTAGGCCCGCCAGTCCTTAGCTTTCTACCAGCATGCAGGGTTAATATTTTTCTTTTTTACTAACCGGTGCATAGAGCAGCGATTCAGTCAGTCACCCTCTAAGGACCATGCACCTCCATGTTTCTCCTCGGCACCTTCCTCTTAGGCTACATGGTTTCTTCTCTGCACCTCCTTCCTGAGCTGCATGGTTTCTTCTCAATACCTCCCTCCTGGGCTGCAGGGTTTCTTCTCGCCCGCATGTTTCTCCTCAGCCGCACCTTCCGCCTGGGCCACAGGTTTCTAATCGCTAGCAGTTCCTCCTTACCCCTATCTTTGGTCTCGGCAGCTCCTGGTAAGTCCCAATGTGTGTATCTGGGAATTGATTAACACTTTAAAAAAAATTAACCCTGCTGCTTGCCGCAGTACTAAGCTCGGGCCCACTAATCATTACTGTGTATGACAATTCTGGTGTCCTTTGTGTGAGGGCACTACAAGTATCAGCAGTCCCTGTGCATTTAATGTACCCTCACACACAGGAGTATCATATAATGGACAGGGACTGCTGACACTTGTAGTGCCCTCACACACAGGACACCAGGACTGTTGTATAATGATTAGTGGGCTGGAGCTTTGTATCGCAGCAGGGTTATTTATTTATTTATTTTCTTTTAATTGATATTCAAGTCCAGCCCCTGATTTTATTTACAACCCTTGGCATAGCCCTTTTAGTAAGTTTGGATTTGACACCCCTGGTTTAACCTATTAGGTCCTATCTCTCAGTTACTCCCTGTTGGTCATATGAGTTGATTACTGTAGGTTGATTGGTGTTCAGTCCACCCTTCTGTATGGTCCAGGTAGTCCAATGGTTCGGTGTATTCCTTTTTCTTATCAAGACATACTTCACTGGTTATATGAGTGTTTGTTTCTTGTTCTTTTGGCATCGGGCATTAAATGCCTATGCTAGGTTTCTACCTTCCTGTTAAGTTTTTTGTTACCAGATTGATGTTGTGGCCTCAGCTGGTGTCTGCTTCATCCTGGTTCTATTAACAACTGTTTGCTGTGTTGCCCACCCCTTACTTGGACTGCTTTTGGATAGAGGTAAAAGACTGCCTATGTTTCTCAATGGACCAGTAAGATAATAGAATCTTTGTGCCAAGAACCCTTTTCTGGAAGTCTATTAAAGGTTACAGGTCCCATCCCCTTGTGTTTATGATCATGCTCTTGGTAGTGCTTTGCTATAAAACTGAGGCATATTAGTAGTAGGAGTGGTTATCCTTGGCTGGCTTACAGGTTTTTTGTTTGGCAGTGTCCAATCCTCCTGTCGATGAAAGTATAACCCGTAGGTAAAAGATTTCCTGTGTGCCTTAACATACCCCAAGAAAATGATTTAACAGGGAATACAAAAATTATATATATATATATATATCAAGCCAAAACATTTGCCAGAACATTTGGATAGAACATTTGCCAGAACATTTGGATAGAGTAAGGAAGGGTGAGAATCCCTGTCAGGTTTGTGTTGCTGTTGGTGAGCTTCACTCTCACTATTTGTCCTGGTCACAATTTTCACTGTCCCAACATTTTATGGTTGTCTCCAAAGCAGGGAGAATGTTCTAGTGGGGACACCTGTCCTGGTAACATCCCTCCCCTAATTTTGGAGATGTTGCCACTAAGTGAAGGGAAATCTCGGGACACAGGGAAAAACGGGACACAGATGGCGTAGAAACATCATGACAGGGTTGCTAATCATTCCAATCTCTATACAAAACTTAAAAAGGTATACTTTACTTCTGTAGTCCACTCAGGCTTAGTCGAGCCATATTATATAATTCTTTATGCTTATCCACCTTGCCCCCTGTAATGTCTTGAATTAACATGAAAGTGATTGTTACTGCTCATTTGAACTGAAAAATAAAAGTTTTTTTTTTCCAGTTATGAGCTTAAAGGAGAACTATGAGGCGAGTGCTTTTCACTCACCTCATAGTTCTAGCCGACCTGTGACAATGAGACTGTCACAGGTCGGCTCAGTAGATCGGGAAGTGAGCGAACACATACCGGCGTTCGCTCACTTCTTGATCCTGTCACGGCTCTCAGTGCTGACTGGCGGAACGGACGGGGCGGGTACAGTTGGCTCTGCCTCTAGATAGGCAGAGCCAGCTGTCAGTCACGCAGCTGGGCGGATCCCGGCACAATTGTCGGGATCCGCTTCAGCTGCGGCGTCTCAGTATACCGCGAGCAGCAGCTACAGCTCACGGTATACTGAGCCTAGGGTGACGGGAGGACGCTAGTTTGTGTCCTCCTGTTACCCTAAGGAGAACTATGGGAAAAAGCTTTAACACCATATTTCTCCTTTAATATATATCAGGGTCAATTAGTCCTGGTACTGCACTTTTCATGAATTAATAGAGTCTCAAAAAGAGGTACAGAAATTGGAGTAGATTTGCTTTCTTTATACTCTTTGAAGGTCTATTATCTGATAGGGTAAATGTGTGTTCATTTTATTTCAGAGAAGAGAGGAACCTTCCTGGGCTGGATCAGATCCTCGCGGCACTTAATGTGTTCCTCTCCACCACATCGGTAAACTGCCGCATGCGAGTGTGTAAGTTAGGAGAAGAGATCTTCCCTACGGTACTGAGGTTGTGGATCCAGCATAGACCTAAAGATACTCTGAAAGATGAAATTGTGGAGTTCTTCCGACTAATGCTGCACATTCATCATCCAAAAGGAGCCAAGACTACAGAAGAGGGTGCTTAAATTACTTTAAATTAAATACTTCCCTTTAGATGCATGTCTGACAGCATATTGCACATTACTTTTAGAAAGCTAGTATAAGTAAATCAAAAGTTGCTCTTTATAAAAGTCCTTTTAATAATTTTCATTCAAGGAAATATTCTGTATGACTTCTTGTTTTGCTAAAGTTTCTTTGTTACCTTTTGTAGAATTTTTTTATATGGTACTAGATGAAATTTAGTTCAAGTGCAGCCTGTCTTTTACACTTCTACAATTAATTTGCCGCAGATATAATCTTTGTAGTTTCTCCACAAGCTAGAGGGTTTGTCGGTATTTCATTAGGAAACTTTTGTAGAATAGCAGTAGAGGGTTGACCAGTTGACATATTCATCAGCGTGGTCCAACTTTGTCATTAGTAGGATTTCAGCAGATTCAACCATTTCTTAAAGTGACACTGAACTCAAGTTAAATTTTGAAAATACATTCAAGTACCTTAACCATTAACAAACATGTAGATTATGTGTCTATCACTCAGCTATAGATCCTCAAATTATCTCTGGATTAGTGCTGACACTGTCCTTCCTTCAGGACGGTGGATGCTTTTGTTCCCCATGGTTCCTTTGTGTTTTGTAAAGTAGCCACTGCTCCTAGCTCAATACCTGATGAGGCGTGAGTGGATCTAGCCATTATGGGAAGCCTTCCAGGTCACAGAAGATCTCTGTCTTGCCTTCTGTAGAGGCCTTCAGAGCAAATGGCAATCCCCACCTGAGGCATTTTTTTCAGAATTTCCAGCAGTGGTTTTAAGCCCAGCCATTTTTGCATTGTCTCTCTTGCAAGATTTGCGTAGTTTCAGAGTGTGGTGCCATCAAAATTAACAATTGGATCTTCATTCAGTTATTGCATGTGCAATTGTTCTTTTTCTCACTGGTTTCTTCCACCGAAGTGGTCAACGCTGTGGGACTGAGTGCTGAGATCATATACTGGGTGGACTGTTGCAGGTGTGCATGTTCCGCCTCTCCTTGCCACCATACAGTGTCAAGGAATCATCTCTCCCTTACCTGAGCCTTTCATGTTGCCTTACACCATGTACCATGTCTTATTCTAAATGCAGAGGAGACAGTCCCACTGTTTCAGATGGCCCCTGCTCTCACTCTATCAGCTTTGGGGCTGCTTGCGGCACGCCTACTGATAGTGCTGACATCTTCATTCTAGACTCATATTGTCTGTGCTCCTAGTATCTGTCCTAAAACTGGAGTCGTCTTTAGCTCTGTCGGATGTTGCTGTATCCTCGGCCCTTTCAGCTGAGCTTTTAACTACAGTCATACAATACTTTTATGACCTAACTCATTCCATTATTTGCTGACTCTACTGCAGAGACCACAAGCCCTGTCCTGCAAATTCAATATCTGCTTCACCTGCAGCCTTAGTGGCTTTAGAGCCATTTGCCGCAGAGGGTCTGTCTTAGTCCTTGACTGATGAGCTCGCCCCTGAGGAGTTGCGGTCTACTACTATCACTTTCAAATTAAGAGACTGTTTCAGCAGTTATTGATGCTGTGCACACCATTCTGAAATTTGAGGATCAAAGAGTTGCTTCTATCAGTGCTTTTTCCAGTCTTATGTCCTTTAAAGCTTCTTGTCAAAGACTTTCCCTTTTCATTTCCTTTTCCAACTATTTCTGTATGGCAATTAAGGCATTTGCTCATCCAAAGATGAGACCCAATTGGAGAGGATTTTGTGCAAAAGGGGTTTATTCCCACTGAATACCACTGAATCTGGCAGTGTCCTGCCTTAACAAAGCTATTCCAATAGAAGGCGTGCCTGTCTTTAAGGACTTAACTGATAAGCAGTTAGAAACTCCTTCTAGAGCTCTGTTGTCTGTGGTGTGTTCTGCCTTTTACCTGATCCTGGCTGTGACTTTACTTTGTTAAAGGAGAACTATGGGGTCAGTGTTTTCCCCACAGTTCTCCTTAGGGTAACGGGAGGACACAAACAAGCGTCCTCCCGTTACCCTAAGCTCAGTATACTGAGACGCCGCAGCCGGAGCGGATCCAGACTTAGACGTCGGGATCCGCCCAGCTGCGTGAGTGACAGCTGGCTCTGCCTATCTAGAGGCAGAGCCAGCTGTACCCTCCCCCGTCCGTTCCGCCAGTCAGCGCTGGCAGATTGGAGCGGGGAATCCAGCCCCTCCCCCTGTCACGGCAGAGAGCCGTGACAGGATCGAGAGGTGAGCGAACCCGGTATGTGTTCGCTCACCTCCCGATCTACTGAGCCGACCTGTGACAGTCTCATTGTCACAGGTCGGCTATAACTATGAGGTGAGTGGAAATCACTCATCTCATAGTTCTCCTTTTAAACCATGTCTTGCTACCTAATTTTCCTCGATAAATCTAACCGCTTTTGTGGTTGATCCCTTGCTTTTTGATTGCGTGAAGAAGGTGACCGTGGCTTTAAATTTCAGCCATGCATCTCATTTTTTGCACGTGTCTCATGTAAGTAAATATTTGCTTTGGGCAGTTTGTTTGAAGTGCTGATTTTGGAACCCTTTTGCAAGAAAAAGAAAAACATAGCTTTTGGTTCAACTCTTGATACTATCAGGGATGCTACTGGTGGCAAAAGCACTCATTTTCCTCAGTGGACGTAGCCTAAGGATCAGACTGTGAAGTCTTCCTCCTCGCTGACTGTCAGGAAATGGCCCTTTCATTCCTCTTCTTGACCTCCTCATCGAGATCCTCCAAGCCTGGTTCCCAGTCCACCTCCAAGGACAAAACCTCAGACAATAAAAGCTCATTATAAATTGACAAGTTTGCCAAAAACTCAGACAACTTTGCAGATGCTTGCATCTCCAACACTTGGGTGCAGGAAGAGGAGCTTTCTCACCTCTGACCTTCCTGTGTCACCTCACAGATTACCAGATCTCCATTGAGCTCTTAGGCTCAGGTCTTCTGGATCAAGTTATTACCCCAGTTCTTGTGGCAGAATGGTTTCAGGGTTTTTACCCTAATGTTTTTGCTGTTAGTTTAGCTTTTAAAACACTTCACTAATCACAGAGATACGTTTTACACACCAACAATAAATCCATATGGTGGTTTGTGAGGTTTTTTTTAACATTCTTAGAAGGGCACCTGTTCTAAGATTGAATATCTGGAACAGACAATAAATACCATAGGTCTCTACTATATGATACTGGCTGGAATCTTCCTTTCAGAATGTAAACACATGATGCTGTCCAGGAAATATAGTCTATTCTGTATTGTGTGGATGGGGCTAATCTGACTCTCTTTTTTTTTTTAAGGTGCATATGCGTTTGAAATCGAGAAGTGGCAGAGAAATTTGTACAATCTGTATGATGCCATGGCGAATGAAATCAGTCAGATTGGCAGCAGAGGGAAATACTCTTCAGGATCTCGGAACGTTGCAGTCAAAGAGAACTTGGTGGAATTGACGGCAGGCATTTGTCATCAGGTAGTTCCCTTCCTAAAGACTTCTCCTAACGTACACTTCTTGCTTATGATAAGATGTTGTGTTTGGTTTGCAACTTAAAGTCAAAACATTTTTTAGTTTTTGATAGTGTGGGTAAGTGCTAGAACCTCATAAGTTTTTTTTTTTTTGTTTTTTTTTCTGTTATCCAGGGCTGCTATCTCTCTGTCACAGAAAGATTTCCACTACTTCCTGCCCTGCTAACATTTTATCAGACAGGAGGTGAGGGGTATTCGCCAACTGCAAAACAGAAAGAAATAAAATGCTATTTTTTGTAGAGTTGGATAAAATGTTTACCATCTTTTTTTTCTGTCTGTCACTGTTGCAGAATTTCCTTCACTTCTATCTGGTAAAACTGGTGTCACTGGGACGGAAGAAAATGTTTTTGGCTTGACATACACTTTAGTCTTGTATCAGGACGATGAGCCCTGTATTGTCGGGTCTGTGGTCTTGACTTTGGGATGTGCTTGCATTTTGTTTCTGTCACATGTCACATAGATTCCTGTTTTGATACTGTTGACTTGCAGTTTGGGAAGATTCTGCTGCTGTTGTGCTGCTACATAAACCAGATTGAACTCAAAGCAAAAATGTATAGTCCACCCAACTGGTATGAGAGGATCAGTGGTAACGCATTTAAAAAAACCAACAGTGAAACCCTGTTGAAAAATCTTTCTGGATGTCTGGACTTTTTTGTGTTTACAGAGAAAGACGTTTCTTGGGTTCTCAAAACTTGTATTCGTAATTAGGGCAAACATTCCATGGGGTGCTTCCTTTAATATTTATAAGTGTTATTTTTATTTATAAAAATTAAATTGCAACACAGCGCACATCAGTACATTACCATGCTTTGTGGTGCACTGCAAAACAGGTCCATTGTGGAGGTGCCATTTAAAATGGTAATGTTTTTTGCCAAAGTTACCCATGTATGTGAATTGTGTCCTTTATTAACATCTCTTTGTGGTTCCTTTTTTTATACATGTGTGGATGATAAACCAGTCTCTCTTCTCTTGTTCAGCTCTTCACAGAAAACACTCGAATTTTAGAAATCACTCAGGCTGCTTTTGCTGTGACCCAGAGGGATCCATCTGCAAGTATGGTCCCAAACAAGCGTCGAAGGATAGAATTGGGCTGGGAGGTGGTCCGTGATAAACTTCAAAGATCACACAAAGATTTTGATGTGATTCCATGGTAATATTAATGCAAGGTTTGGACAGACGTAGTCACATATAAGTGGTGTTTTGGGGAGACATCTGGGGCATCTGAATGAACTGGCATACTCTATCAACAGGAGGTTAGATTACCAGATCATATATGTGCTCCATTGTTTTTAATAGCAATGTCCTATTGAGAAATCATATACAATATCGCCACTTTACAGATGAATGTTGGTGGTAATGTTTGTGTCAGTGCAAAATAACAAAAAAAATATGCATCTTGTGTTTTACCATACGAGTACAGAAAAATACAGGTTGATCTGTCAGAAATGCTATGAGCTCCTAATCTTCCTGTTGTGGGCTGTCAACACACAAGGGGGTGAATTTATCAAAACTGAAGCAGTCAAAATCTTGGGCAGCTGCCCATGGAAACCAATCATCAGCTTCTTTCTTCAGTTTGTTCAGTTAAGATTTGAAAATGAAAGAGAGACGCTGACTGGTTGCCATGCACAGCTGCTCCAGATTTTGTCTGCTTCAGTTTTGATAATTCCCTTCACAGTATTTTTGTGAACTGAGCCCAGTTGTCTTGCTAAGCTTCTCAAACCCACCCACTCTCCCCATGTTTACATCAAAGACATCTTTTGTTTTGTAGTCCAAGATAATGACTGGTAATGATGGGCTCGGGCGTGTTCGCAGCTCCACGTGCCGAGCCCGCCAGGAAGCTGACAGCGCGCAGCGCCAATCACAGGCACTGAGACATTTCCCGATCTTTGCAGCTGCGGACCGGGAAAATGTCTCAGTACCTGTGATTGGCGCTGTCAGCTTCCTGGCGGGCTTACTTTTCACCCAAAAAAATGGGCTGAAAATCTCGGCTTATACTAGAGTTAATACGGTATAACAAAACACTTTCAATGCCATATTTACCAGACCAAAAAGTAGCATATAGAAGTTAGTTGTTGGTGTTTTCATACACCTAAGGTAACTATTGGTATTAAATGGTGTTTGGGTGTTGGAAAATAGTATGGTCTCTGTAGACCTTTTCCACAAACGTATTGAACATTACACATATAATATATATATACAGTATAGAATATGTTTTTTAATGTTAAGGACTCCAGGCAAACAGCAAAATACAGCACTAAGATACACATACATACTTTTATCTGCAAAAAGATTTGTACTTCTTTCAAAAACTCTTGTGATTGACATTCCTCTGCCACAGAGCACAAACCTATTTAATACTGCAGCCTGCTTATTGGCCAGTATGTTAGAACCATCACATTGATGTTGTAATATCTAACGAGCATACAGGCAGTAGGAAATAATAGTGTCATGCAAGATTGTTTAAACAGAATTGGCAATCGTTTGACAATTTCACACATTGTATGTATTCCACTTGTGTATTCACTGGTTTGCTTGGAGGTCTGCTTTTTATAGTTTCAATTTATGTATTTTCTTACACTCCTTTCTTTTTTGTCATTGTTTATATTTCCAGGTTACAGATTGTAGCTTGTTTAATAGCACGCCACCCAAACAGCCTTCCGAGTAGTGAGCTGATACCACTATTAACCATTCTCCACCAGCTGCTCGCCCAGCAGAGAGGAGGGGAGCGTGCAACTTTTGTACTGAGGTGTCTGAAGGAAGTAGCAGTTTGCCAGATGCAGAAAAATGATGTGATTGTGGCCCCAAAGTCTGATTTTCACAAACTCTGGACTAAAATCTGGGCTGTGACTATGCGCAGCTTGGCTGTGACGGAGCCTGAAAGCTTTGCATTGATAGGCGTCGTATTACAAGGTGGGCTGGTATCTGCAGACAGAGACTTCTGGAAAATCTTCTCGGGATCTGCCGGAAAACCCTCCAGGTAAGTTTACACGGGGTTAATTACTGAGTTGTTTGATTATTACTTATTGGCTTTTAAGCAGCCATAGTATGTGATAAAAATCAATGTGGGTAATTTGTAGTACTATAATACTGCATTGATCAAAGCTGTCACAATCTTTGGCTTTTGCCTTAATGTGCTGCTGCCATGTTCTCTGGCTCTTCTTCTGGACTGCGTGCTCCTGACTTTTACTATTGGGCAGCCATTGATAATAAAACAACACAAAAATGTTATTTGCGCTGAAGTTACATTGTCCAGGCACTGTATTGCTTTCTCAGCATCTTACAGATGCATGGAGTGTGCTGGGGACATACACTGCATGTGCACAGGCAGTGTACACTCTTAATTATTGATAGGAGAAAGGGAAAAGTCTCTCTTGCAAAAAATAAAACCCAAAAACCTCCCAGCAATATTGTTTTCCTTTATTTCCTCTTTAACCTATATAACTTTCAGAATTAAAGTAGTAGTTTTTGGTAAATGAATTCCTTTTTTTGTTTCACATTATTTTATATTTATATTTTTTTATGGTTTTCTCTATACAAGCTGTTCCACAAAAGTGACACTGACTTTTTTTACATTGATTTTCTCTGCACAAGTCATGCACATTTATTGTTTCAGTTCAAGCTAGTCTTATACACACACGTATATAAAATATTATTCTAGATTTATAGTTCTCATATTTAAAGCGGACCTTGCACCAACAAAATACGAGGTTCTCTTATTTTTTTTATGGCCCTTCCCATGCCAAAATGCTTTGAAATAAATAAAAGTAGACGGTGGGGAAAAATAGTTAATTAGTATACAGTACTTACCTTATCCTCTCTGGCTTATGTCAACAGACTTCTAAAGGGAAGGGTGACCTCCTTATTCTTGTGGCGAAATCGCAGGGAATGCTGGTGCACTGTGATGGACCATCTTTTCCCAGATTTAGGGTACTCAGCATTTCCTGGGATCACGTCGGAGGGTTATGTCACCTTCTGCAATATGGAAGCTGAGGGTACTACTATGACTATGTACTATTCTTTTCTCCCCACAGACTTTTTTTTTTTTTTTCATTTTACTACATAATTTTGGGAAGAAGGGAGTGTGCAAAAAATGGACTTTGCTTTGTCTGCTTTTAACCACTTGATGACCGGGGTGTTAAACCCCCTCCCTGGCTAGGCCATTTTTCATTATGTCAGTCATGCAGCACTGTACTAAAATTAATTTTATACCATTTTGTGGGGACAGATAGAGCTTTCTTATTGTGGTATTTAATCACCACTGGGTTTTTTTATTTTTTATTTGTTACAATATAATGGAAAAAGTACCGAAAATTTAGAAGAAAAACAAACCAGTTTTCCCTATGTTATGTTATAAATTTTTTTAATATTACCCAACTTTTTGGTAAAATTAAAAGATGGGGTCTCGTCGGGTAAATACAGAAAAAGGAAATAATGTCACCAGCACACCATTGTTGTAAATCAATGATCCATTTTAATGGCACATTGCCATCCAATACAAGCGCTTTCGGGGCCGCAAAGGGTCCCCTTCATCAGTCTCAGAATGACACATCAGTAACAGATACATCAACCTTATATAGACATCAGACAGTGTGAATAAGAATAAACCACTCCCATACACAAAAATGACCTCACTGAATCCGTTCCCGCCATAACTGATTCAAATCTAAAATTACCTCGACTGTTCCAGGTGCACCAAGGCGTGCGGAAAGACCGGGCCGTTGTTCGGCCGGAGCGGGTGGTTGCCAAGGAGATGGGGCGCTTTTCACGGCCGTGAGCGCCGCCCATCTCTAGTGCGCATGTCAATCGTATGGGGCGCAAGGCGGCTTCCGGCTTGCGTTCCATCGTCGCTGCGCAACGGCCTGCGCATGCGCGTCACGTATCTAGGCACAAGGAGGAGGGCTGAGCTGCGAACTGACACCGCCTTCTCAGTCAGAGGCGGAACGTATCACATTGCTGGCTTGCGCTTCAGCGACGGGGTAGTGTCTGCGCAGTGTTCACTTGTTAAAAAAAGGGGGAACCTCATACTGTCATGAAGTACCAGGTGCTGCCAGTGGGGGAAATTACATTAAAGGTTGTCAGGAGCAGACGAGATTGAGCCAAATGGCAGAACGGATTCAGTGGCAAAACAAGAATAAAAATAAAACAAAAACCATGCATGAACCCTATGACAATAAAGGTTAACAATGCACCCAGCTCATTCTGCATGTGGACACAAATTCTATACTCATTGGGCATCCATCATTGTCAAATAAATGCAAAAGAAAGATGGAGCCTACACATTAAAACGCAGGAGCTATTAGCATATATTCACTCCGTCATTGCCATAATAGACCCCAAAATTAATTGCCGGAGTATCCCCAAGGAAAGGGAAGGTACTCATGATCAGGTGTCATGTTATTTTGATCCGTATGTAACAACAGTATATCTAGGTATAAATTAGACATAGCGCTGTTCGCCTAGAACAATTAAAGGTCAGTAACATAGTTGAGGACCCTATAATGCTGGACACCTATATCGAAGGTTATCAATTGGTCCCGGTCAAAAAAATCTTTTGATTGGGTCGGGGTTGTGAGGGGTGTGGGGGGTGGGACTTATTTAAAAAGACTGTTGGTGGAGTTGCTCAGAGCTGCCCAACTTAGTGTGGCCCACTGAGAAATTCAACATATCAGGGAACAAAGGGATTCCTCACTTGGGTGAATCCCTATTCTAATTGCTCATGGAATATAGGGGTTATCTTTCATCCAGAAAGCATGATAGTGACAGATTTGAGTTGAGGCCCCTGGGTTGTACACAATCCAGTGTAAAGATCCAGAAGGCCTCCCTGCGAAGGAGCGGTTTAGCCCTGTCGCCTCCCCTGGGATGTGCATGTATCTGTTCGATAACCCACGAACTTATGGGAATTAGAATGAGGTTCCCCCTTTTTTTAACAAGTGAACACTGCGCAGACACTACCCCGTCGCTGAAGCGCAAGCCAGCAATGTGATACGTTCCGCCTCTGACTGAGAAGGCGGTGTCAGTTCGCAGCTCAGCCCTCCTCCTTGTGCCTAGATACGTGACGCGCATGCGCAGGCCGTTGCGCAACGACGATGGAGCGGAAGCCGCCTTGCGCCCCATACGATTGACATGCGCACTAGAGATGGGCGGCGCTCACGGCTGTGAAAAGCGCCCCATCTCCTTGGCAACCACCCGCTCCGGCCGAACAACGGCCCGGTCTTTCCGCGCGCCTCGGTACACCTGGAATAGTCGAGGTAATTCTAATTTTGAATCAGTTATGGCGGGAACGGACTCAGTGATGTCATTCTTTTCTATGGGAGTGGTTTATCTTTATTCACACTGTCTCGTCGGGTAAATAGACACAGAATATGGCAAGCATTAAAATTGCGTGCTCTCGCGAATTCGCAAAAAACTTCCATACCCAAAAACACTTTAAAAGCTTTTACCACTCATCAGTTTAGTGTTGACAGTGATTGAAGGCCCTAGTATTATTGCTCTCACTCTGACGTTCACGTTGATATGTAACTTGTGTGGCGTAATCGTTGTCTTCCCACGTAGGTGCCCCCGACGTGTATTTACGTTTTATATGTGCATGCACGCGGGGGACTTTACTTTTTTTTTTTTTTGTGTGTGACTGATTTAACTTTACTGTTATCACATAGGGGGCTAACAAGCCCCGTATGTAATAGCCAATATACTATGACAGGTCCTCTTTATGGAGACGTCAGGGGTCTTTAAGACTCCTAATGTCACTTAGGGGCCCCCAAGGAAGCTGGTGAAGCAAACATCTGCTTCCCCAGTTTCTTCCCTTGTTATAGCAGCCAGAGAAATGACAACTGAAGGCGGAACTAGTGTAATACACATCACATCTGCCATCAGAGATCGGAGGAGAGATCACAAAGTAGGAGAATGGCAGCAGTGGAGGGGGGAGGAGGCCGTACTCTGTTTTTCACCATACAATGGACGGACGGCAAGCAGTTAATATGTGTATCTTTAAATCTTGAATTACCCTAAACATACAGCAAACCCATGACAGAAAATTCTGGCTTTCGTTAAGAGGGAGCACAGCTGAAGCTGGTTGCCTTTAGACTGTCTCTCTCTTTCTCTGTGAATAAGAATAAACTCTGTTGGGCTCCCTCTAAGCAAGGCGGCAAGAAGGGGAGGGATCCGCTAATTTTCTTTTTATTTACTTCTGTAAACAACAGGCTTTTTTTAAAGAAACAAGTGAATATGATCCTGGAGCTCCGCTTCCTGGCTAGAATTGTAAAAATGAAGTATTCATATGCAGTGTTTTCAGGTTTACCTGAATTAAATGTAATTACTTTACTGTGTCTGTGATTCTAGTAAATTATGACATGTACAATTGTTTGAACATGCAGAATAAAGTGATGGAATAGTATGATGACTATTTGCTCGTTGCTTTCAGCTCTGCAGTGTACTGCTTGAGTGTGGCCCTGTCTCTACCTTCCTGTGCTGTCCCAGATCACCTCACTTCAGGTCTTGAGCAGCATATCCATGAGCTCAGCGGGGTTAAAAGACTGCTTAAAGAAGAGATCATTACATGGTTACTCTTTGGCAGCCAGGACGGTGAAATTGCTGATGCCAGTGATCATGCCCCTTGTATCAATGAGTGAGTATATACCTGCTACAGAATTGTTGTTTTGTGATCAATATAGTATATGATATGTGAGCAAACATTTTAAATGGTGATTTTTATTTTAGAATCTATTTTTGACTGAAGCTTTTAAAGCTGCAAACTAGAACAAAACAGAAATCATGTAAGAAAGCTTAAAGTTATAATGTATAACAGTGCATATGCCATTTGACTCAGTAACTGCATTGTGAACATTTGAAAGTCTATTACAAACATTATACTATAGAAAAAACTGATGGCTTGTAAATGCGTGACAGACAATGAAGGTGATGGGAAGGAATTGAGTGTTACTCTGAGTTTTTCTAGCCCTTAGTGGACATGAACCAGGGCAGTATACCGTTCTTACTGTCCAGTGATTTGTGCCAGTTGTAATACACTGGTATACATCTAAAGCCTTTTGTTTTTCCCTTTCAAAGTGATAAACAAGTATTTTCAAAGCACATAAATATTTTAAATGTCTTTTAAAGAAATGTAATTTACCCCTTTTTTTTTTAATGGTAAATGTTGCTCGGAGGCTGAATTCTCTGCTAGATATTCCCAGAGAAGGTTGAAGGGACTAAGCAGGGCTTTTACATCATTACCCTGCAAACCCTGCAGAGTAATGGGCAACCTAAAGGTGGGGCTATCAACAGTGTCAGTAACTCTGCATTTATGGCAGCAGCAAGGGTGACGGATGGACCAAAGGTTTCACTGCAAAATGGTTGACATTTTATCAAAGGAAGTGCATATCCAATGGTTTTACTGACAAGAGCAACACATATTATCAGAATGTTCTAGGGGACACTTAGGACAGGGAGTCTGGTCTCATTGGAATGGGTAGCCTTCATCAGATATGTGATTTAATGCTTTGACCATAGTCCTACTTTAAAGATTAAATCTATCTGGTGACTTTTAGTTATCTATATGATGATGTATGATTTACCATATGTATTTTTAAATACTATTATATTTAGCTAAAGTTCTCAGAGCGGAAGTGGGACAGTTAGGACTGGAGGCCAATCAGGCTTTTCTAAAGTACACAATAACTGATAGGGAAAAACCTGATAGGAGCAGGGTATAACTGATGGCTGGTCATTGTGCTGCTTCGTTGTCCAATTAGGAGACTAAGGGTGTATTTTGCAAATGAAGTGAGTGTAGGGTTGCCACCTTTTCTTCAAGTGAAACCCGAACACTCAAGCACTGTGTGTGGAAAAATTTTTTTTTTTTGGGGGGGGGAGGGGGGGATTATAGAGGAGAGGAAGCCAGGAGAAAGAGCAAGAAGAGCCAGCCAGGGGAGGGAATAAGGAAACAATTTATAGAGGACTACAACTCCCAGCATACATTATACAGCAACACAAAATAATATGAAGCTACATACTCTGTGTTCTGGGGTGGTGTCCTGATGTCTCCAGGGTTTCAGGTGGCCTGTGAGGGCTCTCGGGTAGATTCCATGGGCTCTCAGGTGGCTGTGCGGACTCTCAGGTGAGTTATGCGGGTTCTCAGGTGGGCTATGCTGGCTCTCAGGTGGCTGTGTGGGAAGTGCGGGGTCTCATCAGGGGTCTGGAGGCAGGCAGCATGCTATCAGGAAGGAGCCGAAGGATGAGAAGATGTGCGGGCCGGCCTGTACCTGTTTACAGGCGCCCGGCTCACAAGATGACGATTCAGGCAGATGCAGCTGCCTGAGGTCCCACACTTGCTGGGGACCTCAGGCAGCCGCATCTGTCAAGAAATGTAAAGTGCCAGTATCGGCACTTAGTGTCTTGTGTCCGGGTGTCAGCAGACACCCAGACCAGAAGAAGTGTGTGTAATTCTTATAATAAGAACACACAAGGGTGCAATAACCTTGATGGTGTCATTGGTGTGTATTCTAAAGACTATCTGTCTCTATGTCAAAAAAGGGGGAAAAAGGTGGCGCACTTACATATAAATCTAGGAACTGGACGAAGGGCGGCCTTAATGGATGGTCGGGTTGACCTGTATGCATTGCTCCACGATGCTGGTGTATGATGTATACGGCCAGAAAGTGCCCGCCAGGTGTGGATAGTGCGGGGTGCAAGGCAGAGGAGGGATGAAGAGCAAGGACTCGGTCTGTGTTCCTGCCGTGTGTGCGCTCGGATGGATCTTAATGGAGAGTCAGTGCAGTGCTAGATTCAATATCGGCACTTGGTGTCCATGCCTGTGAGTCCTGTTGGGGTCAGCAGCATATAAGTCGTCTGACAGCGGTGGTGGAAAGGTGCTGTCGGGGCGGCAAGCGGCCAAGGAAAGGTGATACTAATGTTGGTACTAAGACCTGGGGACATGGCGGGCACTTTCTGGCCGTATACTCCATACACCAGCATCGTGGAGCAATACATATTCGTCAACCGGACCCTCCATTAAGTCTGCCCTTCGTCCAGTTCCAGGATTTATATGTAAGTGCGCCACCTTTTTTGACATAGAGACAGGTAGTCTTTAGAATACACACCATCAAGCTTATTGTGCCCTTGTGTGTTCTTATTGTTGTATTGTTTACAGGCATTCTCCTCCTGTTTTTTTAGGGCTGCATACCATACAGCTCACCCATCATATACATTCCCCATCCATCTGAGAGCGCTGAATATTCTTCTGTTCTGTGTCATTCTTAGGCTGATTTTAGCTCTTGCTATGAGGACCTGTAAGGAATAAGGTGAGCAGATTCCCTTCAAGGAGGTTCTGCATAAATCATGGACACAAGGAAATCCGGTCACCTTATTCCTTACAGGTCCTCACAGCAAGAGCTAAAATCAGCCTAAGAATTACACTCCCTCACTTTCTTCCCCCCTCCCCCTTCCCCCCCCACGCAGCTCCACCGGGACAGGAGACAGTGATCTGACAGTTCAGAGACTATGGCACTGTCTCTTCAACACTCCCACACTAGTACCGGCCCTGATTAACCCCTCAAGCCACGTACCTGTAGCCGCACAGACAGCCGCACACTCTGACTGCCGGGATTGTGCTCACACAGCAGAAGGTCCTCCTTCACGTATTCCTCTCCAGGGCCCCGGGGCTGCCCCTATCTGCCTGAAACTGTGACATCTTGTGTACGTGTCTGAGGTGGCCTGAAACCCGTACACAAGATGCCAAAACCGTACTGTCCGGCTGAAAACCGTACGGGTGGCAACCCTAAGTGAGTGACTCGGACTGGAAGACACTAATAATATCCTGACAAAAATTTGACTTCTCTGTTTTGCTGACAAATGTATTTGTTGCAATCTTCGTCCCCAATTGAAAGCTTTTCTATAATTCCCTGTACTGACAGAACTGTTTAGAGTCATCACCAGAACAAGAAGTTAGGGTAGGCCTCATTCACATGAGCTTCAAGAGGGTGTTAAAACAGGCAGTTAAACCAAAATAGCAGCCGCTCAGGCTTCTACATATGGTATGGCAAATTTTAAATAGCAAATGCACAATACTCATTGGGATAGAGATTTAAAGAGTAAAAAATCAGCCACGAGACACCAAATTCACCGCTGGCATATATGTAAACCGGCTGTCATGCACCCTCTGAAAAGGATTCCACCGCAGATTGTTTTTCACAGGGGTGGTGGAGCCTACCGCCCATGTGAACAAGGCCTAAATCTACAGAGGACACCTGTTAAAATGAAACTTCCTAAGAGGAGATTTCCTCTTGCTTCCTGTTGTGACTCCAGGAAAAGGTGTGAAGAGAAATCTCCAACAAAATACAGCAAAAATAACCTGGCAGGGGTTTTAGGCCCCATTCACAATGGATTCTATTGTGTTACCATTCTTTTTTTTTAAAGGATAATAACGCAAAGGCAATTAAAAATGAATGGGAGCAGTTCACACTGTAGTGTTGCATTATCATATGTTGCACTAAAAAAAGTAGTGCATGCTCTACTTTTTTTTTTTTTCAGAGCAATGCATCAAAAACGCGTGTGCTAATGCATTACAAGCCAGTACAGTGAAGTATGTCCACTCGGGGCATGTTACACCACATGAATCTTGCCGAAAAGAAAAAACTAGGACAAAACACATTGGATCAGAAGGAAATTGGAAAGTACAATCACAACTCAATCAACCCTTCGTTGACTTTGGCGTACCTTCCGATTTTGGTGTGAATGCACCCTTAAACATTCCTCACTCTATCCAAAACTAAAAGGAAAAGTTTCCAGTGAGATCAAGCAGATTTCTTACTACCAAACTGATTACCAGGGCTCGAAAAATCCACTCGTCTGTGACGAGCAGACTGTGGAGCCCGACGAGCAGCTTCCCGGCCGGCCGTTGTAATTACACGGCCGGCCGGGAGCTTTATAGTCAAGCGATCGAGCGTCTCGAGAGACGCTCGATCGCTTGTATCATTTTTCAAGCACTGCTGATTACAAAACCATAATTTGTTGTCAGTGAATTCATAAATCCATTTGGTTCCAGTGCAATGCAGTAAATGTATAATCTGTGTGCATAGTGAAATGTGATATCTCATTAAATGTTTCTGTCCACATATTCAGGTACTTCGACCACCCTCCCTTCCATAGAGCTCTTGTGAGCCTTACAATGAAGGATTCCAGTGCTGCTATGTCATATTTTGGGAATCCAGTAGAGTGGTGAGTCAATTAAGGGATCAAAATAATCCTATTGGTATACAACTGACTTTTAAGTAACATTTTTGTGGCTAAGCTATGTGTTGTACTGTATTGTTCATAAATTCAATTTTAGTATGAATTCCAAGTCTTGGCTGTAAAATTCATTAATTGCATCACATGTGTATAGGTGTCATTGAACCTTACCAAAAGCACTGTTTATATTTAAAGAGCAAATTTTTCCAAAATAATGGGGTGAAGGACTGAGGACTGTGTTTAAAGGAAATCTGTAATACCTGGCTGTCATGTTGGATCATCTGCATCAATACTTTGTCACTATTCGGGACAAGTATGTTGTTACTTTCTGACTTCACTCAGTGCAGTCAGTGTCTCTATTGACACTAGAGACAGCCAGGCAACTAGTATTTTCCAGAGGAGGTTGGCAATTGCAGTATTCATAATTCACTCCGTTTTTTTCCCCCACTCACTTTTCTTTAGTACTGCCTGGATCGGACTCATCCTAATTTTTCAATCTTATGTTTTATTTTTCAATTCACTTTATTCAATTTTGCAATTACATTAGAACACTGTGTGCAATCAAAACACAGGTGATGTGATAATTCTCAATAACATTTCTGCTCTGCTGCTGGTGTATGTGCATATCAAGATGAGAGAGTAGATACCATATCACATTCAGGGTTTCATCAAATGGCATGGAGAAAAATACCATAAGTGGGTAGAGCAATCAATAACGGCACGTATAGTGCCCATATCTACTGAGGAGTATGCTGGTTTTTTGTTTTTTTTCCAGTCTCAGTTTGTGTATGATGCGAAGAGATGTGCAAGGGTATGGAGGGAATGGGGAGGTGCTGTAACTTCCCATATAGGAAGATAGCCTAGAGATACGAATGAGGTTGCAGTGGTCTGAGTTGCACAGCCAGACCTTTTTATCAGGCCCTCCCATATAATGAAATTCATTGGGGGGCTTCAAGCAGAATAAACGTGACTAGTCGAATAAGACTGTGACTGTGTCAGGGGACTCCAGGCCAGGGAGACCAAACATTGTTGAATTTATTAAGGCACCCTCTGCTATTTATAGTTATTTTTTTATAGGTGTAGTGAAGGATTAAAAAGGGACTTACAATAGGTAATCGTTGGTGGTGTAAGGAATTTCCATTCCACAACAATAGATTTTCAAGCATAATATATCAGGAGATCCAAGAGTGTTCAGGGTTTTTCAGTGTGGCCAGGAGCTCCACCACTCCAAGACATATACTTTAATTTCTGGTTTGATAGAGAGAGCAGTTATGGATGAAATTAACTTCAGGACCTGTGTCTACGTGGTTTGGATTTTGCTACAATTCCAGATGGTATGAATAAAGTAAATGGGATGCACTATTTTTGTTGCATAGGGCGATCTCCTGCAGAGACAAGTTGTAAGGGATAGTCCCTTGCAAGACATGTTTATTATTTTTAATATTATTATTGTTATTATTAGTATTCAATAATGTTCCTTAACATTTTCACCCCTTTTGATGCCCAAAGGATTCGATCAGGGACTTCCTCAAATTGGGGGAGCCTTGGATTTTTCCAATTGCTCCTCCAGAGTTGACACATTTTTGGCCCTCTGTTCCAGGCTTATTGGTCAGTCTCATATTGTAAGGGTGTATTTTTACAACGGGACCGAAGCCATAAACACGAGCCAATGGAGGTACATTGACTTGAGTTTGCATATTGCGTTGACATCCGTTACATTTAGGTTTTGTTTTATTTTCAGTAGAGGGCAACGCAACACAACGCACTGGTGTGAACTGCTCCCACTCACACCTATTCATGTCCTTGTGTTGGCACCAATACTACTGCATTATCTTTATACATTGTAAGCCAATTGTGAGTGTAGGACAATTGATTTGCTAGGAAGTATTTGCAAAAGCCTCGGTGTGCCAGGCCTTTTTTTCTTTTATTCCACAGGAAGGTAGTTATCATCCTTTCTATTTTTTTTGTAGCCCCCTTATTGGGCAGGGGATGAATTGGTTGAATGCTGCAAAAATTGGTGATTCAACTACTTCCCCGGTCTTCTAAATTTGAAAGGCGATCCACAAACTTACTATATTCCTGATCTGGTTGGTCAGAACAGAGGTACTGCTAAATTCATTGCTCCATAGTGAGCAAAGCTGTTACTCTGTGAATTCTATTCCTGGCTTCATTGCAATCAAAGATTATAACTTAGTACAAAGATTTTGTATATTTTTTTTAATGTAAGTTTTTTTTCTATTTCCAGCTTGCATCATAAAAAAGGAAAAGACAGCAGATTCTCAGAAACTGAAGAGCTGTACCTTCTATCCTCATTTAATGAAGTGGTTACAATTTCCAATGCTGCTGCCGTGGTGACCACTGGGCAGGCCAGCTCCACGTGTCTAACTGTAAATCATTGTCTAAAACAGAAATTAGAATGTGATCTGCTCTCTTTATCCGAGCAGCTACTCAACAGCTACTCCCCAGAGGTATGCCCTCATATGTCTGCTATACTGGTGTATTCTGCAACGCTTGATTTTATCATGCCATACCATCTCACATGACAAAACAACCAACCAGTGGGCTATAATCCTGTGGAGTTTACCTGGCCACTAGTGACAGGATAGATGATAGAAAAGTTTGTTCATTCAAGTGGGTCAGTCACTTTTTTATTATATGCTTGTGTAAAAAAAATTATAGCCCGATAGAACTTGCATGCCACAGAGTGGGGCCCTTGCGGTCAGTAGTGAATCAGTGATCTCTTCTGTGCAGAGGTCTGACATACCCCCTACTGAGTCTGAGCCAAAACTCTCCATTTAGAGCCAGCTGTGCCTGCCCCCTCCCCCGTCCGTTCTGCAAGTCAGCGCTTGAGGATCGAAGCGGGGACGGGGGAATTCCTGCAGGGAGCCGTGAGTGACAGTCACGGCTCTCTGCAGGGATAGATCAAGAAGTGAGCGAGCGCCGGTATGTGTTTGCTCACTTCCCGATCTACTGAGCCGACCTTTGACAGTTTCATTGTCACAGGTCGGCTCAGATTATGAGGCTGAGTGAAAATAACTCGCCTCATAATTCTCCTTTCATGATATAAGAACAATCAGGCAGCAGGAAGAGAAGTGTTGAAAGGACAGATCCACAAAATGAATGAATCAGAACCGGGGACATCCTAGCACTGCAGGTCCTCAGGTACAGCTTTCTGTACAGCAAGAACAGTGGGAAGCACAGTTATGACATCAACAGATGTCATTCCAAATTACATGAGACTAGCAGTCACAAGCACAGTGCCTTATATGATCCTGCCTGGAAGATATGTTACTATGAAGCTCAAGGCAAAGGGTTGCCTAGCCACAGGTAGTGCACTGCTATTTTTAGAGGGAATTCAAGACAAAAGGTACAGTTTTAAGCACAAATAATACTTCTAGATGTTTCCTATATTTTAGCAAGTCTTTACATCTTAAAATTCGTGTTCACTATAATAAATTGGTAGACCTATTTCTCTGTGGAGAAACAAAGTAGCTATGGAAAATTTCCACAGCTGAAGGTATTTGAATCGTCTGCAAAAAAATGAATAGGAAATAGAAAAACGTATTCATGTTTTCTCAACCTACATATTCAATATTTAGCTGATTTCAGGGGATAATCCCATTAGTACCTGTGCATCAGAGATAGCTGCAGGTAATCTCTGTTTATTTGTATAGATAAATTAATAGAAGAATTTATAAAATACTCAAACTTGCCAAGTCACTAGCATCCACAACCTGTCTGCTGCAATATCGATTATGATTATTTGTGCTCTGCATGACATGAGATAATTGAACAATAGTTTATGGAGGGATTTAGAGTAACACAGACAGGAAGTGCTATGTATATCAAGGTCACAATGGGTAATTCATGTCACTTTACTACATAACTTGTTTTCTTTTCTCCAGACCACTCCACCCGATAGTCTAGTCCAGTGCGCCAGCCTCTTGATTGGGGTGTTGGCTTGTTATTGCCATGCTGCGGTCATTAATGAAGAGGAAGCCTGTAAATCTACTTTGTTCCAAAAAGCCAAGGTAACTTGTGTAGCTGTGTTCTGTGTTGTGGAAAGCCCTTCCACATGCACCTTGCTTTTAAGGCTAGTTATAAATTGATTGGTGTGGTTGCTTTTTCCTTGTTTGCTGCATTTGCTGTGGGGACACACTGGAGCCTTCAGCTGACATTTGATGTGCTGAGCTTCCAGTGTTTCCCTGTGCCTTTAAGAAGGAGTGGGCAACTTCCAGACATACGTGCATTCAATTTATCCACTGCTATGTATGCTCCAATATGGAGGCTCTCATAGATTAGCGTTAGGACCATACTACCAAAGGTAGCCTTGGCAGTGTGGCTGCCACATATTTTGCAAAAGTTATGCAACTAAACCTCATTCAGGCATTTTGTTAGAAACTGCAATTTTTTTTTTTTGCAGGCTGACTGGTACGCGTGCTGTGAAATTTCTGTGTTTTGTATTGTGGATAGCCCTTGATTTGTGCAGTTGCCAATTTTTTTGAACTTGTGCAGCTGTGTCTAAAAATAATGTCTTTTCATCCACCTATATTTTACTCACCTTTTCTTGAAAGGGTATGATACTGTATCAATTGCAAATGTAGTAGGTAGAGGTAGGAAGAGAAAAGAAGAAAGCGATAGAGATAGATTGTGTCTAGGGTCACCAACCCATTGATACCTTTCACATATTCTCCTGTCACCCTGTTTGTCTGTGGGAACACTGAATCTGAGTCATAAGTCAGCTCTATCTTGGAGCTTATACAGTTTTAATGACCTTCCTGCATCGCCCATGTTAACAGTGTTCAGGCCTGGTAGTTTTTCACTCTTGCTGCATCTTGGCAGAGGGGGTCGGAAATCACATGCACATTTACTTGCATTACACAGGGGTGTGGAAATTTTTGAAAAAACCACTTGTCCAAGGACTAAAGCAGGGGCCAAATCTACTTGTCCCTCATGACAATCTACTTGTCCTGATACAAAACATTTTTTTTAACCAAAACCATATTTAGCAGTGCTAAGAAGCGCTTCTCATTGGTCAGTGCCGTCAGGTGACTGCGTTGACCAACGAGTGCTTGCAATTTGCGAGCGAAATTAAGAATACATGGAACAGGTACAGAGATAGTACACCCGTACTGGTGGACGGGAAGGACCGTTCGCCGAAAGGTAAGTATAGTGGGAGGGAGATTTGTGCGGATAATTCCATTTTCCCAAATTACTTGGGAAAGTGAATATGCATCCACATGTATAGGGCTACAGCTGCGTGGCAATCGCTGAAAAAAAGGTAGATGTACCTATTTTCACGACATGGGGTGCCATTAGAAAATAATTGCACCGACAGCACGGTCGGCAGCAGTGTGTGATTCCATGACCACCCAGCCATTCGCTCGGTTTCGTGCACGATGACCGGGCAGTCACGGATCGCACACCACTGCCGATTGCACTGGCAGTGCCATTATTTTCTAATGGCACCCCAGTCGTGCCTGGCAGATTGCGCGTTTTCCTGCTGCAATACCGCCATGCCCCTGTGGTTGCACACGATCGCAGTTGCAAACACTGCACGTTTATTCGCATGCAGATGGGGGCAGCAGGGCTGGTTTTAATTTTTTACATTTTTATTTACTTTGTAAAAAATTTTCATTTGTTTTATTATTTTTACTTTATCGCCTTTTTATTTTTTACATTTTTATTTAGTAAAATTTTTATT